ACAGGTTCACACCACCACAGCTGGCTAATTTTTGTATTTTTTGTAGAGACAACGTCTTGCTATGTTGCCTAGCTGGTGTTGAACTCCTGGGTTCAAGCAATCCTCCCACCTGGCCCTCCCAAACTGTTAGGATTACAGGTGTGAGCCAATGTGCCCGGCCCTCAAATCGGTCTTGTTCAACTGAGATCACCCCAAACTAAACAAACCAGGATTCTGAAAACCAATTTGTAAACTGAAGACTCATACTTCACCATTATCCTAAAACAATGTTTCAAAAAGTTGTAAAAATATCGTAGACAATGTTAGGCTCTATGATTTTAATAGATTTTGATAAGACTCTACTTTACCTCTGCATTCTAAACTAATGTGAATAATTTTGTCTACCAGGCCATTTCATTCATGATTTTAGAGATAATAAATCTAAGTTTTCCTTTTCATTTTATTAGTCCTTTCTACCTTCATCATATTTAGCTGCAAAGACATAGATGGCTTTAATCAAGTTTTAATTTTGTTTTCAACAGCATCCTAATGATATTCAAAATGGTATTAAATGGAGCACCACGCCAACAATCTGGCAAGTAATAAGGCTTCACAGGTTCCCATTTTGGGTCATAAGTGGTAACTTGGAATGCATTATCCTAAAACTTGATTTAAAGAATGGCAAAATACTGATCAAGGTGGAAGATGGGTGATTAGGTACATAAGCATTTGTTATACCACTCACTCTACTATCGTGTCTATTAGAAACTTTTCATAGCAAAATGTTTAAAGAATATATTTCAGATTATTTTATCCAAAATGGTTTAAATATAGTAAATCCATGCTTAGTTCAATACTTCGCTTTTCTAATTTCATCTACAAACTTTTAACTCTACATTTTCATGTATTCATCACCTAATGACTTGTCATACTATAATAAGGGCATTGGTCAATTCTATTTACCCATGATTACTAAGGAAACTAAAGCTCCAGAAGTGACTTACCCAAGTCACCCAGTTGGTTAAGTGGACAACGGTACAGAAATAGCAACCTGCCTGGTGTCAAGGGTCTATAACACAACATTCACGCAGACTTAATCTTTTGAGATTTTTCTCTTGTGGCCAGGTTTCTCAACCTGAGCACTACTGACCCTCAATCAGATAATTCTTTGTTGTTGGGGACTGTTCTGTGCATTATTGTAAGATGTTTCGAAGCAGCCCTGGCCTTTACCTACTAGATACCAGTAGCAACCCCTTCAGTTGTGACAAATGTCTTCTAAGGGAAAAAAAAAATCAAGCTCCTTCCCCACTGCTTGAGAACCCCCGCTCCATGGTATTCTGATCACCACAGCATAGTGAAATCCTATGTACAGCCTCTAACAAATTAATGACACCTCCCAATGGGAACCCCTGAGGGTTGTACAGACTATCATAAAAAATGAGCAGAGCATGGAATTTGCTTTAACTACGTACAGGAAACTAAACATAAGTTTATCAAAAAAACACACTAAAATGCTATCTTTCTCCCTTTGTCAGTCAATTCTATGAAATGACTGTCAACTTTCTGTTTTGTCTTTATTAATATTGTGCCTCTAGTACTACCAATTACCTTATTTACAGCCTCGGAAAGCCCTCACTGACACTTTGTTTTTCTGGCACTGCAGCTGGTTATATTTGCGGTTTTTTTTTTTTGGTTTTTTGTTT